ACAGCCTGCCTCCCCTTTGCCTGCTCCTTCTCCCTACGTTGGTCCGACTGGAGGTCTTACTTAGCGTCGTGAGCCTGCGTCTCGTCCTGTGTCGCCTGTTCGTCCTGAGCGCGCTAGTGGTCGCGGGTCGCGTCAGCGTCCTCCTCCTGTCCCAGGCACGCACCGGATGTCACTGCGTCCGTCCACTGCTCCTCTGCGTGCCCCTTTGCCGTCTCCTCCTGCTTCCTCTCTTCCTGCTCTTGCCGACCCGGAGTCGGACTCTCTTCGTGCTGCCAGTCCTACTGTCACGCGTCTCCTTGCTACTGCTGTCACTGACCCTTCCTTCGAGTCGTCTGCTGCGTCTGCACTTGTCACTGAGCTTGTCGACTTTGCTGCGCGCTGTCGTCTAGACTACGCTGCTCGTCTTGTCACTGAGTCTGAGTCCGCCTGTCCTCCGTTCGTCGGGGGTGAGTGTGCCCTTGGCACGGACGTCCTTGAGGACAGGCAGGAGGAGTTCCAGTGTCTGGCCGCCGCTTCACCTCATCTCGCGTCTGTACTGCTAGCCCCTGAGGGAGACCCGGATGCACCAGACATCCCGACTCCGCGCTCTTACGCGGAGGCGATAGAGGGTCCCTACTCCTCTCAGTGGCAGGCAGCTATGGATGCAGAGATGGCTTCCTGGAAGTCCACAGGCACCTACGTTGACGCTGTTCCCCCTCCTGGGGCGAACATCGTCAGTGGCATGTGGATTTTCAGGGTGAAGCGGCCGCCAGGTTCTCCGCCTGTCTTCAAGGCGCGTTACGTGGCTCGTGGCTACAGTCAGCGGCAGGGGGTTGACTACTTTCAGACCTTCTCCCCCACCCCGAAGATGACCACTCTTCGGGTTCTGCTGCACGTTGCTGCTCACCGTGACTACGAGCTGCACTCTCTCGACTTCAGCACAGCTTTCTTGCAGGGCAGCCTGCACGAGGAGATCTGGCTGCGTCGCCCACCTGGCTTCACTGGGTCTTTCCCTCCTGGTACCCATTGGAGTCTCCGGCGTCCAGTCTACGGTCTCCGCCAGGCGCCACGTGAGTGGCACGACACACTGAGGACTACGCTCGCGGCACTTGGGTTTGCTCCTTCTACTGCCGACCCGTCGTTGTTTCTGCGCACCGACACCTCTCTGCCGCCGTTCTACATCCTCGTGTACGTCGACGACTTGGTCTTTGCCACTGCTGACACTGCTGGACTCGCCTACGTGAAGTCCGAGCTGCAGAAGAGACACACGTGCACTGACCTGGGTGAACTGCGCAGCTACCTTGGCTTGCAGATCACCCGGGACAGAGCACGCCACACCATTACCCTGACTCAGTCACACATGGTGCAGCAGGTCCTTCAGCGCTTCGGCTTCACGTACTCCTGGCCTCAGGCCACTCCTCTGCCTACTCGCCACTCGCTCTCAGCTCTGCCTTCGGATGAGTCCGTAGAGTCGAGTGGCCCGTTTGCAGAGCTTGTTGGCTGCCTCATGTACCTGATGACCTGCACACGACCTGACCTTGCATACCCTCTTAGCATTCTCGCACGCTTTGTTGCTCCTGGGAGACACCGACCAGAGCACATGGCTGCAGCGAAGAGGGTGTTGCGCTACTTGTGCAGTACGTCGGGCATGGGGCTAGTGCTTGGAGGGCGCAGTCCAGTGGTCCTCACTGGGCACGCAGACGCTTCTTGGGCTGACGACCAGGCTACGCAGCGGTCGTCACAGGGTTACACCTTCAGCCTTGGTTCCGGCTCTGTCTCGTGGCGGGCTACCCGCTCGTCTTCTGTTCTCGGCTCCAGTTGTGAGGCTGAGATCTACGCTGGGGCTATGGCTGCACAGGAGTTACGCTGGCTCACCTACCTGCTGACCGACCTTGGAGAGCAGCCTCGTTCTCCTCCAGTCCTGTACGTAGACAACAAGGCCATGCTGGCCTTGTGTCGAGAGCAGCGACTGGAGCACAGAACGAAGCACATTGCTCTCCGGTACTTTCTTGCTCGTGAGCTACAGCAGCGTGGACAGTTGCGACTTGCGTACGTGGCTTCTGAGGCCAACACTGCTGATGTCTTCACCAAGGCACTTGCGCCTTGTGATCATCAGCGTTGTTGCACGCAGTTGGGTCTTGTGCCTGTCTTGCCTCACTTGCTCTCCTCTTGACCTTGCTTGTACCTTCGCCTATATATACTCTTGCTCTTGCTTGCTTGACTCTTGTATATCTCTATATTTGATCTTGCATGTGAACTGGCCTTCTGGCCTTTGAACTTGTGCTCGGAATGCGTGGTGACTCCAGCAGCTCCAGCTCCAGCAGCACCAGCTCTAGTAGGATCGTCAGCTCCAGCAGCTTCAGCAGCACCCCCAGACATACCAGCGCCAGTAGAAACACCATGGCCAACACCCCTAGTAGCTCCAGCTCCAGTAGCACCAGTACCGCCACCAGCTCCAGCAGGACCAACTCCAGTAGCCCCAGCAGCACCCCCAGTCTCAGCAACACGTCTCTAGTGGCGGGCAAACCACTCGCGCAGCTCCTGTGGAGAGAGTGGCTCCCGCCTTGACGAAGCAGCGCCGACGTCTACACGAGCAAACCTAGCACCCCCAGGCTCCGCACCTCAAGGCTCCGCACCCCCATGCTCCGCAACCCCAGACCCACCAACCCCAGGCTCAGCACCCCCAGACTCAGCACCCCCAGGCTCAGCACCCCTAGACTCAGCACCCCCAGTCTCAGCACCCCCAGTCTCAGCACCCCTAGACCCGGCACCCGCAGGCTCAGCACCTCTAGCAGCACCAGAGTCAACAGCTACCTCGATAGGCTTGACTGCGTCTACCTGGGACACACCTCACGGGGCAGGACCCTGAGGGGGGAGGGGGTCTACCGGGGGAGGACCTGGTGCAAGGAAGAGCCGCGGCGGGGGGAGAGGCGTAGTGCGGTAGGGGAAGAGACCGTAGTAAGGTACCGACTCGTCAAAGGTGATGTCCTGGGAGGACAGAACACGGCGCGAGGTGGGGTGGTAAAACTGCCACCCAGCCGCGTCAAGGGGGAAGCCAAGGGAGACGAATGGAACAGCACGGGGGGACAGCTTGTCCGCAGACAAGTCGCAGACAAACGCTCGAGATCCCCAGACCCGAAACGCAGACGCATCGCCAACCTTCCCCGTCCACCGCAAGGCGGGGGAGGTCTCTGGGAAGGAGACACGGGGTTAAAGGTTGAGCTGATGCGCGGCAAACTGAACCGCAAACGGCCACAGAAAATGGGGGGCATCCGCATGCATCATGGACGTACGAGCGACGTCCATGACCATGCCAATGCGGCGCTCAGCAATCCCATTTTGCTGTGGAGAGGCCGGAAGCGTGAAGGTCTGGCGGATGCCCTGTGCACGACAGAAGGCTCCCAGACGAGCAGAGGAAAACTCCCCGCCTCTGTCAGAGTGCAGACGCAGAACAGGAAAGTCCGAGCCGAAGCTCTCTCTGAGCTGGAGAGGAGTTGCGCGGATCCAGTCGATCAACACCTCAGTGATGTCACCCTTGCTGCGCAAGAGGAAGACTGTGGTGTAACCCGAGTAGTCGTTAACCACCAGTAGGAAGTACCGCTCGCGCCCTTGCCCACTAACGCATGCTGGGCCCCACACGTCCATGTGGAGATTCTGCAGCGGAGCCTCTGTCGGAGGAAACTCGGAGGAGTGAGGGGCGGCGCGCTGTCGCCCCTCGACGCAGGGGACGCAGGTAGGGCCAGGCCCTGGAGGTAGGGGAGGGAGAGACCGTGGGAGACCAGAGACAAGGACACGGGAGGCCATGCCTCGGAGACGAGGCAAGGAGGGGTGACCAAGGCGGTGGTGCCAAAGGAGAGTCTGGTGGGACAGCAGACGACACGAGCAGGGAGCAGACTCAGGACCAGACCTGGACGCTGCAGCAAACACTTGAGTCGATGTAGCTACCTGAGCAGACTCAGCAGTCGGAGGAGACTCAGCAGTAAGGGTGTATAGGCTCGACCCTGGCCGACGGGTGAACGTGGCCAAGTGTCGGCCTGTCCGAGCACACGTGCAGTGGGTCACTCGCTGCCTCGCAGGAGTGAACTGGTCAACCCCCCTATCCTGTAGGTCCGCTCCACTCACCAAGTTCGTAGAGAACGAGGGGAGGTAGAGACCAGACAGGGTGCCAGAGGGGGCTGCCGGGCACGGTAAGACAGTGGAGAAGCTAGCAAGGACAGGACCCCAAGAGGGGTCTGCCAGGAAGACTGCAACCGGCCGACTTAGCGGCGTAAGAGTGGTGCGGTCTCGAAAGAAGGAGCGGGACGCACCCGAGTCAAGGGTGAAGGTGAGGAAGGCCTGGGCCGACGTAGTACATGAGAGAGCAGACTCACCAACACCTGGGGCAGCAGAAGCACTGGCACCTGGGGCAGCAGACGCACTAGCACCTAGAGCAGCAGCCTCACCAGCACCTAGAGAAGTAGCCTCAATGCCCGGGTCAGGCGGTACACACAGGTAACAGTCACCCTCAACACTAGTAGTCACAGAAGACATGGCAGCAAGGATAGCATCATAGTCAAGATCAAAGACGGCAACCCCCGCCCTAGAGAGATCTCCCCAGCGGGGGATCTCTGACGCCTCAGGGAACTGGCGACGCCACGCGTTCGTCAGGCGACCGAAGCAGCGCTGGGTGGAGTGCGGGCCTCTGAAAGGGCGGTTGGGCTGCTCTGCGGCTCGGGTTGACACAAATCGGAGTTTTGGAATTCTAAATTGTGCTGACGTGGTGCACGAGTGGTCGACCGGATTGACACAAATCCGAAAACCGTCAATCGCGTGATTTTTCCTGTGTATTGCCTTCAAACAACACTTTTTCTGCAACGCAATTGCCAGCTGTAACAAAACATCCACTCGTGCGTTTGCTTGTATCAGGTCCAGCATTAACCTAGCTCTACCCTACCCCTTCTCAACTCACCACAGCTCTCCTCAAAAGAGCGGATCCTAGGGTATCTAAGAGGTCGAAAGTTGCAATGGCATGCCATGGCACCTCAGGCCGTGGCAGTTGCAGCAGCGCAGAGCTTCTCCTCCAGGCCTGGCCGAACCTGGCGCTTGGCGGAGAGGAGGCGGTGCTCCAGGGCTTGCAGGGCCGGCAGCGAGAGCACAAGGGCATCATGCTGCACAATGCTGTACACGTTCAGACCCTGGTGGGATGGGCCGTTGCGTGAGTATGGGCACCGGTATGGGTATGGGTATGGGTATGGGTTCGACGACGGCATACAGATGGGAGAATACAGTGATGGGAAGAGGCACGCAGGGAATTTTTCAAAGCAATAGCGCGAGAGCGCCGTGCTGCAGTATGCTGCTCACGTTCAGACTCTGGTGGAATGGGTTGTACGCAGATGGGTATGGGCAGCACAAAGGAGACATTACAGTGAGGTGAACTCTCACGATGGCACGAGGGTCTCGTGCTGCACTATGCTGCTCACGTTCAGACTCTGGTGGGAGGGTTGATGGGCACACATGGTGTAACGGAAGGATGAGACACGGAGGAACTACAAGTGCATCATGCCGCACTATGCTGTACACACTCATACCCTGGTGGGGTGGGTCACGGGTATGGGCAAAAGGGCATGTACGATGTAAGAGGGTTATGGGCGATCAGCATGGGCAATGGCACACATATGGGGCAGTGGAGTGCGGTGCAGTGCAATTCAGTCCAGTGCATGGAAGAAAGTAGATCTGGGGGGAAGGGGGTAACTCAGAAGCAACTCACCACAACTGGCAGAACATTCACATAGTGCAGGTTCCCAGATGCCCGCAGCAAAGTTTCATCTGCCCGTTGCGAACCGTCGACGAAAAGGATCTTCTTTGACTCAGGGAACGCCGTGGCAATGTGCTGCGCCATGTCTTTCGTTTTCGGGCTGCCCGGATCCAAATCAGAGTATAGGACCAGCTGGTTGGGGAAGGGAGTGATAGGGCGAGGGGTAGGGAGAGTGAGAGGGAGATTGAGAGGGGAGAGCGAGAGGGGAGTTGAGAGGAAGAGGGAGAGGGAGAGCTAGTAAGAAGTACAGGAAAACTGCCACACAGAGAGGGACAACAGAGGGTAGCTCGAGGATCAAACAACAGGCATCAGAAACACTGCGCTCTCACCTGTCCTTCTCTCATCAGAAACACAGAGCTGCCTTGAACCCGAGCGCGCGGACCTACTTGTTGAGAGTGCAGCTTGAAACACAGGAGGTGGACACGGCTCCATAGGTCAGCATACATTGCACAGCACACTGCACTCTCACCTGCCCCTCCCTCAGCCGCGCCAACAGTGCTGCCTTGAGCCCCAGCGCTCAAACCTTCTTGTTGAGCGAGAAGGCGGGAACACAGGGCGTGGACAAGGCACAGGGGATCAACACAGCACACTGCACTCTCACCTGTCCTTCCCTCAGCCGCGCCGACAGCGCTGCCTTGAGCCCGAGTGCGCGGACCTTCTTGTTGAGCGAGAAGGCGTGCGAGCGCGGCTTGGGGCCGTGCATGGCGGCTCCACCGCGGAACTGGTGGGGGGGGGTAAGTGGTGGGGGAGGGGGGGTGATTGAGTGAGTGGGTGCATTGGCCTGGCAAGGAGAGGTGGCCAGGGGCCGTGCATGGTGACTCCGCCCCGGAACTGGTGGGAGAAAGGGGTTTGTGGCGGACGGGGAAATGGGGTGCGACAAACTTTTGAGACGTCTCAAAATGGGGTGCGACAAATGTGAGGGTTGGTATTGCGAGAAGGTGGCTTGGGGCTGTGCATGGCGGCTCCGCCCCGAAACTGGTGGGGAGAGGAGCGGGGATAGGGGGAAGGGAAACGAGGTGCAACGAGTGAGAGGGTTGGTATTGCGAGAGGGTGGTTAGATGCAGTGCACTGTGCATGGTGGCATGCCACTGCCTAGGAAGTGAGAGTGCGTGGGTCAGGGGCTGGACGGGCCGGAAAGTGCTGGCAGCAGGGCAAGCAAGGGAAGAAGGGACACGGGCCTGGGCGCAGCACAAAGGATAGAGGGCAATAGGTGGGTGGAGCAGAGGGTGGCTGAGCTGTGAACAGGCACAGCATGTGATACGGCAACCCATGCGATGTTTGCTGTCTAACTGACGAGCCAGCCCCACACCCGCGGACCACTGCCCAAGCCCTGTCTCGTCCGCCCCGTGCCCTTGTGCTTCCTCAGGCGCCTCACAAGTCACTGATCGTAATAACGGGCAGTAATGGTACCCAAGTCAACCCCTCACCTGCAGCAGTCCCCTCACCCCTCACCTGCGGCCCTCGCCGTGACCCATGCCTGGCTCGCCCCGTGCCCTTATGCTTCACAAGTCAGTAACAGTAATACCGGGCAGTACCGTTCAGCACCGAGCAGCAAGCCAGTCCACGCCCCTCACCTGCGGCCCCCGGCGGGACCCGTGTCGGGCGCGCCCCGTGCCCTTCTGCTTCCATGGCTTGCTGGACGACCCCCGCACCTCGCACGCGCGCTTCGTGCTGTGCGTGCCCTGCGCGGGTGGGGGAGGGGGCGTGTACGGACAATGTGGGGAGTGAGAGGGTGAGGACGAGGCGATGAGGCTTGCTGGACGACCCGCGCACCTCGCACGCCCGCTTCGTGCTGTGCGTGCCCTGGGGGGGAGGGGAGGGAGACGGGGAGAGGAGTGTGTGTGGGGAGGGGGTGGGGAGGGAATGAGGGAATGAGTGGGGGGGGAGTGAGGTGGTGAGGACGAGACAGCGAGGCTTGCTGGACCACTCTCTCACCGTGCCCACCCATTGCAACGCCATCCCAACCACCCAGAACCCATTACAATGCAATTCACCACCCACTCCATCCTCTCCGCCCCTACCCTCGTCCCCTCTCTTCGCCTCCCCCCTCCCCAAACACTGTACTCCTCTTCCTCCCACCCAATCCCCCGCACTCCTCTCCGCCGCACCTGGCGGCGCTTCGCGAGCTGCCAGAGCACCACGCGGTGCACGATGTCTCTCCGTACAGGCACGTCGAATATAGTCCCGTCCAGCACCGCCTCTCCGCGCGCCTCCCCGCTGAAGCTCCGCACCGCCACGCGCCTGTCGCGGTACGTTCCCCACTCCGCCTCCCCCGCTTCTTCCCCCGCGCCGATCACCTCCCCCGCTGCTACATCCGCTCCTGAGGCTGGATTTCCGCTTTCCGAGGCTGCGCTTGCCGAACCTACTGCACCTTCCGAGCCTGCGGAAACACCCTCGGCTGCATTTCCGCTTGCTGCTGCTGCGAATGCCACGTCAGGTCCTTTGCCTGAATCCGACGAGAACCATCGTTGTTGCGACGTGCTTACGAAGCAGATCGAGTTGTCGCGGAGTCGCGTGCTTGCTGGCGACGTCGCACTGCGAATCGCAAATGATCGCACGATCTGTCGCGTGCTGGCGACGAACGGAGACGCGTGGACCCAATGAGAAGGCGGAGCGGCGGGCGAGAAAGCGGCCTCAAGGCCAATCGAGAGATCACCACGAATCACGGCGCGTGCTGACGATATTTGGGGTATCAGTGACTGCTGGCTGGCGGTGCGGGAGAAAGTGCGAGAGTGAGGGGATGGCGGGGAAGTTTGAACGAGAGACGCGCGGGAACAGGACGAGGGCGAGGGGGTCGGAAGATGCGAGGACGAGGAAGCACGGCTGGCGGAACCCCTTAGCAGCCGCGCAGCTATTCGGGCGGCCATGGCGAAAATCGTCCCAGCGCAACTGGCGGTGATGCAGTTTCAAGGAGAAAAGCTATGTGCGAATCAGATGTACCCGTTATGGAATATACTCCCCATAAAAATGAACGCTCCCCAAAAAACAGTTATTTCGCTTTGATGAATATCCAATCCCAAATGGAACCGGTTGGCGAAACTGTTACCCTACTTCTAAAAACCTCAAGCTCAAACACTTCGCATCCAACCAAGGAAGGCGTTGTGTTTCGCTCAGTAGTCTTGATTCGCCTCATCCTCCCTGCGCATCTATGGGTCCTCCCCTTCGCACCATGATTTCCTCGATTGTTCTTAACCAATCAGCACATGCCGCGTAACAAGCATTTTCGAACTTTCCCCAAACGCGCGGCCCTCCTGGCTCGCTCGGCACAAGTCAGAGAATCCACCACAGTCGGCACTTTCCGAGCTCGAAGGAACTAGAGAATTGAGAGTCGAGATTGCCACCAGTTCTGCACTTACGAGTAGCTCTAGGGTAGCTTTCGCCTAAGCTCTAGGGATATTCGTTGTCTCAGGTGGCTGCCGTTGCGTGGAAGCTTTATAAATTCCTTTAGATACTCGAACATCCTTTTTCCGTTGCAACAATCCGCGCCACCACGTCCCGCTGAAGCCTCCGCCTTCCCCTTCCTTCCGCTTCCGTCATGTCGGGAGCCGCGCTGGCGCAGGGTTCCGTCGCAGCCTCCGCGCAGGCCGCGCGGGGAGCGCACCAATCGCTAATCGCCGATCATTCTCGTCGCAGCGCGCGTTTGTCCAGCAGAGCAGCAACCGCAACACGGCTGCCTCTCGTAAGCAACTCCGGCGCTGCACTGCGGAGCGAGAGCCGGCGCGCGTTCCACCACAGCGCGGCGCGGCGCGTGGCGGTGGCGTCGCTGGCGGAGGAGGAGCGGGAGCTGGAGGCGGTGGAGGCGCTTTCAGACGCGAATTGGGCGCACATGAGTGCCACGTGGAGCCAGCAAGTCCAGTTGGACGAGAAAGAGAAGCCACTAGGTGCGATCATGGAGCCCTTGAAGGGAAAAAGGCTGAGATTAATGACGTCTGAAAATTAGAAGCGAGGGTGTGTAGCAGAGGAGCTCGAGTTTTGCATCAGCCAGACCGGGCCGCGAATTCGTGCGCGGAACCCGCAGCACTCGTTATCCGGCCCAGGTTTCCCTCGCCTTTCCTCCGCCCTGTCGCCGCGCTTTCTTCCGCAAACCGCGCCCTTGCGGGAGTAACACACCTGTGCCCTCTTCCCCCCATCAGACCCATCCGGCTCTTCCCTCACCCATTCCCCTCCTTCCTCCGCCGTTGCGCGCAGCGGAGTACATGACGCTGCCCGCGTCGCAGTACTCGATGCTGGACGCGGAGCGCATCGAGCGCATGACATGGCATGGCATGGCATGACATAGCATGTGCCCTCTCCCCCCCCATTGTCCCTTCCCGCCCTCCCTTTCAGCGGAGTACATGACCCTCCCCGCGTCGCAATATTCCGTGCTGGACGCGGAGCGCATCGAGCGCGTGGACAGCAGCACGTTCCGCTGCTACGCGCACCGCGTGCAGTTCTTCAGCGTGGAGATCTGCCCCGTGCTGCTCGTGCGCGTCGACGAGGAGGCCGATGGGTGCACCATCCGCCTGCTTTCCGCCACGGTGAGCGCGGGCGGGGAGGCGCAGGGGGGAAGGGAAGCACGGGGAAAGCACGGGGGGAATTAGGGGAAGGGGGGACACAGGGTGGGGAGCAGCACTAAGGAACAGAGGGCGGACGGGCGCACCATCCGCCAGCTCTCCGCCATGGTAGGCGTGGGCGGAAGAGGCAAGCAGCGCAGGGGGAGGGGAAGCGCGGGTAGGGGGAGCAAGGGAGGCGGAAGGCTGCACGTGAGGCTTCTCTCCGCCGCTGTAAGAGACAAGCAGCGCAGGGGGAGGGGGAGGGCAGGGGGAGCGCAGGGGGAGGAAGGCAGCGTAGGGGGAAGGAAAGCGCAGGTAGGGGGTGCGGAGGGGGAGGCGGACGGCTGCACCATCCGCCTGCTCTCCGCCAGTATATGGGGAGGCAAAGGGAGGCCCGGAGGGGGCGAGGGGGAGGAAGTAGCGTGATTAGTTCTGTCGGCCACCAGGAAGCGGAGGAGAGCAACAGCGCAGGGGGACGGGGGGAGCACAGGGGGATGGAGAGCACGGGGGGAAGGGGAGCCGCGGAGAAGGGGTGAGCACATGGGGAAAGGGGCTAATTCCAAAAGTGCCTCAAAGGTTTTGCCCGTTCTTCCACCTCCTGCTTCTCTTCCACGCACCGCTGCTGCCTTCCTCTCTTCTTCCTTCCTCTCTGCCACCACCCTATCGACTTCCCCGCCCTTCATTCTCCTGTTGTTTACCTCACCTCGCCTCGTTTGCCCCCCATTCCCTCCCCCGCTTCCCCCTCCCCTCTCCCTTCTCCCGCATTCTCTATCTCTCTTCCGTCCCCCCTCTCCCTTCCCACCTCCTCCCATCCCCTTCACTCTTCCCTCTCCCCTCTCCCCTCTTCCCCCCTTCGCCCCACGTGGCCCTCCGCGCCCCCACACCAGCTGGACGGGTCACCCATAGTGAAGTCACAGAACAAGAAGTTCCGATGTAAGTGCCCGCTCTTTGCTAAGTGTTGCTCTTTGCCAAGCTTCGCCCCCATAAAATTGATGTCCCTCAATGAGCAAGGCTGTCAGGAAGCACCAGTATCAGCGTAATCCTTGATGCATGCTTTCCACCATCATTTCTCCCTTACACCCCTCAACCCAACGTCCATGGTGAACCGAATGCTTATCATTGCGCCCCCTTTCCCCGTCTCCTCTCGTCCCTCCCTGCACTCCCTCCCTCCTCTCCCTCCCTGCCACACCCTTCAACCACTCCCCCACTCCCCCTCGCCTCCCCCAGCATCTGGTGAACTGTGTCTTTACTGCGTACCCCTTCCTCCCCATATCCCTCCCTTTTCCACCTCCTACAATCTCCCCCCCCCCCCCCTCCTCTCCTCCCCCCCAGCATCCATGGTAAACAGGGTCCGGTGGGCGCCTGACCTCTCCTCGCCCTCCATCTTTCCCCTCCCCCCGCTCCCCTTCCGCCCCCTTCCCCTTTCCCCAGCGTCCATGGTGAACCGGGTGCGGTGGGCGCCTGACCCCTCCTCGCCCGCCTCGCGGCTCATCATGTCAGAGACCACTCTCAAGGTGAGATGCCTTCATGCTGTCATGCCGTCATGCTGTCATGCCTTCATGCCATGGTGCCATGCCATCACCCCTCCTCGCCCTCCTCGCCCGCCTCGCGGCTCATCATGTCAGATACCACTCTCAAGGTGAGATGCCTTCATGGTGTCATGCCGTCATGCCATGGTGCCATGCCTTCATGGTGTCATGCCATGATGCCATGCCTTCACCCCTCCTCGCCCTCCTCGCCCTCCTCGCGGCTCATCATGTCAGATACCACTCTCAAGGTGAGTTCCATCTTTGCTTCAATCGTGTAATCACCACTCTGGAGTATCCTTTTGCACCACCAATAACCTTTGAGTGGACTCAATAGTCAATACCTACCCATCACCATGTTGTGCCGCGCATAGGCTGCAGCACAGAGATATTGCTAGAGTCCTTCACCAGTATCCCTATAAAATCACCTGTCACGCCCCATCGCCCGCCACCCCCCCCCATCTCTCCCCGCAGAGCGCAGTGGAGGAGCCAGTGCCATTCCGGATGATCCCAAGGGAGGCCTTAGAGAGTGTTGTGTTGTCTAAAACCCCCCTAATTCCCTTCAATCGCCTCCCATCTTCCCTATCATATCCCCCTACAGAGCGCAGTGGAGGTCCCAGTGCCATTCCGGATGATCCCAAGGGACGTCATAGAGACTGCAGGCAACAAGCTGTTGGAGCAGATTCTAAAAGTGGCCGTGCCGCGCTTCCTAGAGCAGGTGAGCGCTGTGGTTCACTGAGTGCTCTGGTTGCCGCTTTGCTGGACTATGCACACAGGACGTCATAGAAACTGCAGGCAACAAGCTGTTGGAGCAGATTCTCAAGGTCACCGTGTCTGGTTTGCTGGTTTCTGGCTCCGTGTCTCCTCGCCGTTCTCCTCGTATCCCTTCTCTCCGCACTCAAACTGTCTGCTCCCCCCCTCGCTCCCCACACCGGAAGACGGATTACAAAGCCTGGCAGGAGTAGAAGTGGAGGGGCGTGGAGAGAAGGCAACTCTCAAAAGCCCCTCTGCTGCCGCTCCAGCTCTTCCCTCCCTATCCGCTTGCTCTGCTTCTCCGCCTACTGTTGCTGCTTCTAACCCTGATCTTCGGTTCCTCTCCCTATCCCTCCGCTCTGTCTCTATTCCCTCCGCTCTGTCTCTCTCCCCTCTGCTTGTCTCTCCTTGCCTTGCCCCACCTGTCTGGTGTCTCTTGCACCCTATCTGTTTGCCCCCTTGCCACAGCTAAAGGGCTATGAAGCCTGGGCTGCAGCTTTCCCTGGAATTTGTCCATAAATCCCGTCTGCTGCTGCTCCTGCTGCCCCCATCCGCCTCTCTTCCCGCAGCTGAAAAAGGACTATGAGGCATGGGCTTCAGGGGACACCTCGTTGTTTCCCCTCCTCCCCCTACCCTCTCACTCCGTCTCTCCTTGCCCTTCCCCACCTGTCTCTTCTCTCTGTCCCCTCCTCCCCTCAGCTGAAAAAGGACTATGAGGCGTGGGCTTCAGGGGACACCTCGCGAAAGCCCCTCGGCACAGGGGAGTTGTGACTTGTACCCGATATTAGCTGGATTATTACGTGCGTATATAAGAGATGGAAGCGGCAACTGCTGGATAAAGGGTAACCAAGTTGCAAGGCAAGTGTTACCCATGTCTGATTCTAGCGGCCATTCGGTAGTGTATGACAGTACAAGAGTGAGTAGTAGCACCTATGTGGGACAATCTTGGGAGTACAGATGTGGTGTTCTGGTGTGGTGAAGATTCTTTCAGCCAGCCAGAGGGCACCTTCTTTAAGAAATGTGTCGTGCGGAGTGGGGAAGGGAAGGGTATCCGATGTGTGAAAGGCCTTAGCCTCTTGTATAGGGTAGGGTGTAGCAGAACCTTGAATTCCATGCTAGTGTTTACCAATCACTGGGTCAAATTAAAAAATCCGAGTTGCAACATTGTTGGCACAGCAGTTCCATAAGGCTGTGCTGAGCACTGTGCACTGTGCAGTGAGCACACGGTGTGGTGCAGTGCAGCCAACTGTTGACTGCCAACACCCGCAGTGGGGTGAAGGGGGAGATCACCTGCAGTTTCACACTCTGGCTGTGGCGCTCCCAGACGTTCTTTCTGGGAATTTGCCTGAGAATGCCTGACAACGTGTGAGAATACGAGGACAGGAGGGTCGATAACAGTGTGTAGAAGGGGAAGAGCAGCCCGGAGGGTAAAGAGAGGTGAGTGGGGAAAATCAGGCAAAAGGACATGCAAGGATAGCTGATGCCGATAAGAGGGCCATTCCCCCTCTTGTCAGCGGGCAGATGCAGAAAAAAGAACCGCACATAAGACGAACTTGTCAGCAGGCGGAACCGCACATTCGAGCACCACTCAGCACCACTCAGCACCACGCAGCACAGCTCAGCACCGCTCAACACTGCTCACCCACTCTCAGCACCACTCACCAAGGCAGGACATGAAACGGATGTGAGGAGAATCATCGCTGGGTGTCTTAAACTCTGCTTGCAACCACAGCAGTGAGTCTGCACATGCTCGTGCCTTCTATCGTCATCCCCTGCCAGCTCCCACTCCCACTCTTTCCATGTCTCCCCCTCACCTTTCTTCTCACTTGCTCCGCCCCCCTTCCCTCCTCTCGTTCACCCTCATCTCGCCCATGTTACCACTTTCCTCATCTCGCCCATGTTACCACTTTCCTCATCTCGCCCATGTTACCACTTTCCTCATCTCGCCCATGTTACCACTTTCCTCATCTCGCCCATGTTACCACTTTCCTCATCTCTTGCTTTCCAGCCTTCCAATGCCCCTCACCCTTCCACTCGTTGCCTCTTTCCCACGCTCTCTTCCGCTCCCTCCTTCCCTTCCTCTTCCTCTTTCTTCTCTAGTTCCGCAATCTCCTCCCCTCTCCCTCTCTCCCCCCTTCCGATTTCATCAGCAGAACCACGAGCACCATGCCCCGGAGTAGGAGAACTGTTACCAGGTGTGCGGAGCAGGCGCTGCCTTAGAGCGAACTCTGCAAGGAAACGGATGAGAAATGAGGTAGATTGAAACGATATGAAGGTCAAACACGAGCAAAAAATCTATGGAAGAGAATGAAACAGGACTTTATGGTGGGACAGGGTGAGCTTGAGGCGAAATCATGCGAACATCACAACCCACACTTCTGCACCAGTGGTAACCACTAACCACCTCACATCTACCGCGCCATAAACGGTAACCATCTCACCTCCCAATCCGCTGTCAGTGGTACCCAACTCACCTCTCAATTTGCCATCAGTGGTAACCATCTCACCTACCAGTTCGTCATCAGTGGCAACCATCTCACATCTCAATTCGCCATCAGTGGTAACCACCTCACCTCTCAATTCGCCATCAGTGGTAACCATCTCAAGATCCAGCAGGGAGAGCAGGCGGGCGAGTTCAACTGCACTGCTGCACTGCTGCGCCCCCCTGCCACTCCCCAGCCTCATCCCCCCTCTGCTTCCACCTCCCCCCAACACCATCGCCACTGGCGTTAGAAACGCTGCTGCTGCTGCTGCTGCTGATGATGATGGTGGTACTGTTGGTAGTGGTAGTGGTGGTGGTGCTGCTGCTGCTGGTGCTGCTACTGGTAATGTTGATGGGGCTGCCACTGTTACTGCTGCTGCTGATGGTGGTGCTGTTGGTAGTGGTAGTGGTGGTGGTGCTGCTGCTGCTGGTGCTGCTACTGGTAATGTTGATGGTGCTGCCACTGTTACTGCTGCTGCTATTGCTGCTCCTGCTTCTGCTGACAGTGCTGCTGCTTGTGCAGTGGGTATGGGGGGCTGGGTGGAGGGTATGGGTGCAGCAGGAGGAGCAGCAGGGGGAGGAGGCGGAGCAACAGGGGGAGGAGGCGGAGCAGCAGGGGGAGGAGGCGGAGCAGAAGGGGGAGGAGGCGGAGCAGCAGGGGGAGGAGGCGGAGAAGCAGGGGGAGGAGGCGGAGCAGCAGGGGGAGGAGGCGGAGCAGCAGGGGGAGGAGGCGGAGCAGAAGGGGGAAGAGGCGACAGCTGTAGAGAGGCAAGCACGGCTGGTGAATGGGCAGCTGTGGGGAGCATGAGCACGAGAGCGCCCGAGTCCCCTTGAGTGTCAAACGCGTGGCCGTGTCGACCCACTATGAGGAGGTCTGTAAAGAGGGAGGTACCGCCCCCCTCGCTGTGCTCCACCGCGTATGCTGCTATGGTGCCCTGGGTTAGCCCTGAGGCGCTGCCCACCTGAAGGAATGAGGAGCGAGGGGAGACAAGGACAGGGGTGTCAAACGCACAGCCGTGTCGACCCACTATGAGGAGGTCTGTAAAGAGGGATGTACCGTCCCCCTCGCTGCGTTCCACCGCGTAGGCTGCTATGGTGCCCTGGGTTAGGCCTGAGGCGCTGCCCACCTGACAGGAGCAAGAAGAGAGACGAGAGAAAAGAGGGAAGAGGAGAGGAGTGAGCGGCAGTTAAGAATGCTAGGGAGAGGAAGGAGGTGTCTCCCCCCTTTGTTCGCTGTGCTCCAATGCATAGATTGCTGTGCTCCAATGCATAGATTGCTGTGCTCCAATGCATAGATTGCTGTGCTCCAATGCATAGATTGCTGTGCTCCAATGCATAGATTGCTGTGCTCCAATGCATAGATTGCTGTGCTCCAATGCATAGATTGCTGTGGTGCCCTGTGCGAGGCCTGAGACGCTGCCCATCTGAGAGAAGAGATGAGAAAGGAGAGGAGAGGAGAGGGAGGAGGGAAGAGAAAGAGGGGAGGCGAGGGGAAGTGACAGAGGAGAGGAGAGAGAAGTGACGGAGGAGAGGAGAGAGAGGAGAGAAAGAGAACATGGGTGGGTGTGAAATCCTGCCCCTGCCATCACCCACGTTCCACGCACCTTCTACGTACCTTCCACGCACCTTCCACACGTGCTGTCCCACCACACTACGGATGTCGTCTGATAGGTTGACGCGGCGGGGCGGACCAACGGGGCCGATTCCCGCCACTTGCGTTGTCACGACCGATAAGTCAAACTCCTCGTGGAAGGGAATGTATGCGCCGTCCGTGCGCACAAACGAGTCTGCTTGTTTCGGGGACGAAGGGACGTGGGAACATGCATTGGGACATGAGGGGAGAACGTTGAACGGGATGTTGGGTGGGAAAGGATCGGAGGAGGAGGGTTGAGGAGAAGGGAAGGAATAAAACGTGTAGTGGAACAATGTAGGAGTGTTACAACTCTTACGGAATCACCTAATAAAGAGAACAATCCGCACCTGGGTTCATGTTGGCGAACACGCCGAACCACGCGTGGTCCGAAGCAAACGGCAAGGCTCGTTCCACCGAGCCTAAGAACCTCCCCGGACCAAGCGACACAGGCAGGGGGTGAAAGAGCTTCTGCTTCAGCTGGTCCAAATCAACTGCCACGTGGCGACTCGCCAGAAACCCCACCCCAAGGCAACCACTGCTCCCACCAAGACTGCTGCTCATCCCACCAGTGCCGCTCGTCCTCCCATGGCCACCGCCGCCGCCGCCGCCACCGCCACCGCTGCCGCTGCCACTGCTGTTGCTCCGGCTGGCTTTTTTAACAATCGCTCCCAGCGTTCCATACACCTCCTCGCTTGCAATCTGCGACCCCGGCCCGATCTTACTGCCACTCCCCCTCAGCTGCTCCACCAGCGGGTTATCTATAATAGCTGCCTCTGCGGCTACTCCCACCGTGCCTGCCACGTCACCCGCGTCACCTGCCACGTGGCCTGCAGCGCCCGGGCTGCTGCTGCTCCTGCAGCCGCTTCTCTGATTGGTCAGCTCCACCACGTCCACGTCACACTCGTACCCGCCCGGCCCCTGCAACTTCCTCGGAAGCTTCTGCGCCGGCAGCAGCCACTCCTCGTGCACCTTTCTTGAAACGAAGACGACTATAGCGGGGACGTCCGTCAGCCTTCCGCGCCGCGTGCGCAAGCCGAGCGCGGTGCCGAGGCTGTGGCGGCGGAGCGCCTCGCTGTGGCACGCGCGTATCAGCATCAGCTGCGCGATCGTCGTCGCGGGTCGCGTCATCATGGCCCCGCGAGGAATCCGCGACCCGGCGAGCGTCAAATCTGTCAGCGGCGCGCCAGGATTCGCTCTAGCTTCGGAACTCTCTCTAGCGTCGGCGCGACCACTACCTGTGGTTGGATTGGTAGCGAAAATTGCGGCGGGGGGCGCGGGGTGACGAGGGCTTGAATCTGCAACTGGAGACGCCAGCTGTCGGAGGAAGTACTCGCGGCGGGCGCGTGGCGACGCGTGCGAGCCATGCGCGTCGCAGGGAGGCCATTGGACGTATCTCGGCGTGGGCGCCGGCTCGTACTGCCCGGCCGATTCGAGCGGCTCCAGCGACTGTGGACCGTTGGAAAGAACGCATCGGACGGCCGGTTTTAGCTGGCTAAAGAGCGGATCTAAACAGCTGGGGGAGCGTCGATAACGCTTCCGAGTCGCCAGGGATTTGTTTGGGGAGCTGAGATCGACACTCGCGGCGCTGCTGCTGCCGCACGAACCGTATGTCCAGGCTCTCGTGCGACCCGCCGGGCTTTCAGGAAATAGGAGAGAGGACTTGGGAGAGGGCGAGGGGGAGAGGCTGTCCCATGCGCGCTTCTTCATACCGTTGCCGCCGCCGCCGCCTCCGCTGCCGGTGTTACGGGCGGTGTAGGAACGGGCGAAAAAAGGCGAGTCCATGGTGATTCCAGCGAGATTTCAGGAAATCTTTCCGAAAAAGGATTCTTAATCAAATCGTCTGGGGAGTCGCGCAGTAGAAGAATAGGCCTGAAAACTCAGAGCGGCGATACCATTCGCTCGTTGTTCCAATCGACTCCATTCATCTGCTGCATGAGCGCTTCCCCTACGAGGTCGCAAGCACATTGGCGGACTGGCAGTCGGGCGGGTCTAGACTTTACTACACGACGATTATTGGCACGGAGAGAGTGAAGCACCCTTGAAGCAGCCGTCTCGGCTACGACTGCTCGCAATCTGCGACTTCCCATGGCGATCCGATGGAACCCGGCGAGGCGAGACTTTCGTGGATTGATTGACTGGACTGAGGCGTGTGTGGGGTGGAGATAGATGTGGATGGCCTCTCGCCACGCTGGTGGCCCTGCCAGTTGGCAGGCGTGGCATCATGACCGAGCTTCACGCGCCTTACCGCAATTATCTGCAATGAATTCGCTCCTGTAACTTAGGTCGCGGTTCTGGGCGAAGTTTGCCCGCCATCAGCTCAAAATGGCCCTCAAAGACGTGTAAAAACACCCTATCATTGGTCATCACACAAGCTTCCAGATATATTGGAGCATGGAAGCCAATCAGACGTGTACTTCCGTCTACACTTGTCCATACTTCGGATGGCGGGCGAACTTCAGAACCGCGATCTTATTTCCAGGAAACCAACTACAGTACCTGGAGAGATTCTTGGAAAAGGAAATCATATAAAATAATGTACAGTCACGTTGAAGAATCACCTGACTTGAACCTCCGAGTCGAGAGAGAGGAATCGAGGGAAGGAGGAAACTAGGTAAGAACTCAGGGAACATATGCCTCTCCGACCAATCAAGTCTCGCTGCAACTCACGAGGTTGGTTTGACCGACGCGGCACAGGTAGCTCCGGTTCTCTCCACCAGAGAAATGGTTGTTGTTTTGACTTCAGGTGTAGGAAACGCATAAATGAGATCTGATTTTGTTTTGAGTAATTTCAACAGCGATCAATCAGCAACAAGCATTCAGTATTGATCATGTATTTTATCATGCAACTACACCACTCGGTTACGAGCCTCTCGAGTGCACTCCAAGTCCCTCACTGCCTGCCACCTCTCCCTCGAGAGCTCCCTCCCTCCAAAGCTTGTTGCTGCCAGACGAGCCAATGTGAGCCACCTGCATGGCCATTCCTCACCCTAGTCCAATCCAAAGCATATAGTGATCCCCATGCACCACCATCACAGCAGCACACAGCATGCCAAACAGAACTTCACTGTCTAGCCGAGTGACTTTTATCATGATGGTCGTTTATTCTACGTGCGTCACAACAACGGCTCGAAGCGCAGGGGCCACGCCCAGTTGGGTCTAGTATAGACTAGACGACGATCCTTGCAAACGAGAGAGACGAGCCCTGAATGTGCCATGCCATCTCGTCGGATGATGTGGTCTTTCGCGATTCCAGGATTTGCATGGTGCTCTAGGTTGAGGCGAACGAAACGAGGGAGGTGGTGGTGAACAGGCTGAGGTCCAGGCACGCGTCAATGTAATGTAGCGCTGACAGCTGGCTTCATGCTACATCGACGATCATTAACAAAAAAATCCGTTATCCCTGAAATCGCGGGCCCCGAGAAGGTTAGTTTCGAGGGAGGAAACGGATAGCCCCGTTTCGAGGGTACTACAGTGTCAACCCAGCGAAACACAGATAATCGTCACAGATACAGCTCCGGATTCGGAGTCCCTTTCGGAGCCCCTAAATTATAACACCCTCTTTCTCAACCTTTTCACCTTGCGCGACTCGTCGCTACAGTACTTGTCTCATGCGATCTGGTGCCATTAAACGTTCCTAGCAACCTGGGGGGAAAGCTGAACCATGTGACAAACTGGCTCAAGAACGCAAAATCTCCGTAATCGCTTTATACCCTTCCAAACCGAATAAGTGCATAACCTCACCTAACCGCATTCTTCACATTGTGCTTGTACAGTAGGTGACAAGACCATTCTGAACGTGGTGACGTTCTACAACCCATGTACGTTCTGCAACCAGGTGCTCTACTAGCGCGAAAGTTTAAGTTTTAAGTTTTTATTATGGTCGTAACCGCATACAGTGCAACACCACAAGCATGGCAAAAAGCCAAGGTCTAAAAGACCTACTCTATAACAGCGTTACTTGCCTATCAATGATAGAATGAAGGCCAAAGCCTTTATCGGGTTGCACAGCTAAAACCTGAGCAGCTTCTACGGAGGATGAAAAGAATCGTTCAACAGCCAGGACTCTCGCAGAGCTGGATGAAGTTGTGGGGTGCCATCCAACCCGAAGGTAAGGAATTTAAGTGAGACGGCAGCATGGAGACGATTTTTCGTAGCGCGCTTCTTTTTATCAGACCATTTAGCCCGTCGACTGAAGTAGATTTTACAGGAAGTTAAGAAGAGGGCCAGGATGCGATGAAGAGTTTCAAGTCAGGTGTACACAGTCTGCTCATAGTGAGAAGAGCAACGATCTCTCCAGAGGGTTGTGGCAGCAGCACCAACGAGCAGACACCATGGAGCGATGAGGCTGGATGGGTGAGGCAGCGGAAAGAAGACGGCCGCCGGTTCAACTGATGTGAGAAGGTGTCGACTAGCCACCCGGTGTATTGACTCGAAAACCGCATGCGCATGCCCACAATCAAAGAACATGTGAGGTAGGTCTTCAATCCAGGGGGGACCACAACGAGGGCAGGCGCCCCCGGTGGAGGTGAAGCGGTATCTGGAACCGGACGGCGGCGTGAGGTTGAAGACTCGAAAGAGAACATCAAGGTGTCGTGAGGGCTGGTCCTTGAGGAATGAATGATGGTAGTCTGGAAGAAAGGGAATGGGATCCCGGACTATGACATTCCAGCGTTCCAAGTGATTAAGAGGAAGCGGCTGGTAGATTAGGTTCCTGATATCCGAGAGCGAGGGAGTTCTCGCAAAGAGTTCATGGCGAGAGCCGAGGGCAGGGCCGTGATTGAAGGGACCGGCTAGCCATCGTCCTTTGACGTGAACTGGGATGACCTCCTTGAATGTGATGGTGCGGCTTCCTTCACTCACGGTTGCCACCTGTCTCCCTTGATGCACACTGAAAATGTTGACAAGTGCTTTGAAATCTGGCAGAAGGGCGAACATACGAATGATCTTGCTAGGAAGGAATGTCTTTTTAGCCTCCAACACCCAATCATTGACAGCCAGGTATCTTCTGCTCGGGGAGAATCTCCGTATCGTAGCCCACCAACTAAGAGGGATGGCATCAAAGACACTGAGAATGAGTGTCCTGCTGCCAGGGTACACTGAGGGGGGGAATTTTTCAAAGATTCCGTCTTCTTCCATCCGCCTTACACCTGTACGAGTGGGAATGAGGAGGTTCCCAAAGCGGATTTGATAATTAAGCAGAAACAACTCATTCTTCAGGCGGCTGAACGGAACATCCCGTTCCTTGCATATGAACCTGTTAAAGGCGACAATTTCGGCCATGAGGCTCCAGGGGTCCGGACGAGGCGGCTTAACTGTCAAAGGTAGTGGTAAAACGGCTTCAAGTTCAGCACGGAACCTGGCCGAGACCTGAGGGGGGAGAAATTTGACAATGGACGGGTGAGAAAGGTAACAGTGAAGGCCATAAGGCACAGGAACACAGGAGTGAGCAACATCTTCATAAGGCGAAGCGTGAAACCTTCTTACAACCCGTTGGATGGTGAGGGCACGAATATGCGCAGAGGGTTCCAGAGCACCGACGCCTCCATGTTTCTTCTTGTTATATAGGATCCGTTTGGGGATGAGCCTCGTAGCAAGCCCATGTTCCTTGTAACGGGAGTTGGAGAGGAAGATACCAATAACACGGTCAAGCGTTGTGAGTATGAGGGAAGGGGGGGGGTTGAAACCTAGCACCAAATGCATATAGGGAGGCCAGTCTTTCTGTGGACAAGAGGGATCGGCATGTGGTTGTGGCCTTAAATTGAGCCAACAGCTTGGTGCAGCCTCGGATACGAAGGATGATGTTGTCCCAGGTGGTGGCCCCGGGTTGACTTTGTTCCACGTAAATTCCCAAGATCCGCTCGGGCTCATCGGCACCCCTTATAGGAATTGAACCTGCATGGAGCAACGGGGTGTTGTGCATGTTAATGGGGATAATAGAGCACTTCTCCCAATTCGGTTGCTCCCCAGACATGGATGCAAAGTTCTTGAGAACCTGAGTGGTTACCTGCAGTTCAGAGTCAGAATTGAGAAAAATTGACACGTCATCAGCATAGCAGGTTGCCAGCCGACGTTGGGATTGGTTGAAGGCATAGCCAGGGATGAAGGAGTGTAAGTACCTCTGCATGACCTCGATCACACAGACGAAGAGGAGAGGGGCAAGGGGGCAGCCCTGCCGCACACCTGAGCGCACGGGGAACAGGGGGCCAGAGAAGTTGTTGACCGATACCCTGGTGGAGGTGTTGGAGTGGAGCATGGATACCCACCGAATGAAACCGGGAGGAATCCCTAGATGACGTAAACAATCATAAAGGAATTGCCTATCGACCATGTCATATGCCTTCCGGATATCCACCGTGAGAACGAGGAGTGGGTCACCTTGAGCGATCGCCCACTCCATGAGGTCCAATGTATCATTGATTGTATCGCCGATACGCCGACCTTTGATGAACGCAGCCTGTGCGGGGTTGATGATTTTGGGAAGAACAGCTTGTAAACGGGAGGCAAGGACAAGGGCAAGAACCTTGTAATCCACGTTCATCAGCGTAATAGGCCGCAGGTTTGATACAAGCTGCGTACTTCCACGCTTGGGGATGAGAACCGTCCTGCCGGCTTCCATGGACTTGGGAACTTGCCCTTGGGAGACAATAGAGGTGCACAACGTTTGAAACAGAGGGGCAAATATGCTTTTATAGGAGCGAAACAGTTCCCCAGGGAGGCCATCAGGCCCGGGGGTTTTACCTTTGGAAAGCCGCCCCAGAGCTGACTCAATCTCTGCCAGCGAAAATGGAAGATCCAGACGGGCAGAGCAGGAAGAGGGGAGCACAGAGGTGCGCACTGAATTCCAGAACGAAAGGTCACGAGAGACTGGAGAGAGACCATTGTAAAGAGTGGAGAAGTACTCGGTGCAGTGCTTGGACATGCCCTGCAAGTCAGAGACAATCTCACCCGAGGGGAGCTTGAGATGTGGAATGAGAGAATCTTTGATGCGGCCCTGAAGACCAATGAGAAGAGAGGAGACCCCCATCTCTCTAGAGCCTTCCACCTTGAGCTTTGCCTTGAGCGCGATTTTGGAGGCACGAGAGAGCTCATAAGACTCCAGGCTAGAAGTGAGAAGGGATAAGCGGGTGGCTCCCTGCTGGTCAGAAGGGTTTTTGAGAAGGTGAAGCTGAAGGCGGCATGCCTCATCACTTAGAAAGGACATAGTCTTCCTTACCCTGGTTTTTCCCTCCTTACTGTACCACTGAAGTTGACGACAAAGCCCTTTCTTCCAGTGGTCCCACTCCTCGATGGTGAACCCAGGTCTGAGTTCCTGAGAGACCTGTTTTAGGTGAGCACAGACAAAAGGCTTGAGAATGAAGGAATGCGGGAGCCGCCTAGGCCTAGGGGCCATATTGGGGTTTCGAAATCGGAAGGCCACTCGAGGCCTGCGATCATGGTCAGAAAGAGGAGGGGGAACAGAGGTATAAGACACATGATGGATTTGATCGGCCCAATGGCCAGATACGTACGTTCTGTCAAGGCGGGAGGAGGAGGGGGCAGAAACAGGAGAGCAAGCATTCTGCCTGGGGAGGGAAGGTTGGGAGGAGGGGGGGGCAGATCCAGAAGGCAGAACTTTTTGATGGGAGGAAAAGGAAAACATGGCTTTGGTTGGAAACTTGTGCCGGTAGCAGTCAATAAGAGAGTGTTTCTTGAGCATATCCTCTAATAAAGCTGTCTCTGTGCGCTCCACTGGTTTCAGGTCCCGATTCCTGTCCAAGGGTAACACCACGGCATTGAAGTGACCGGTAAGAATTGTTCCAGAACTGGCGGAGGGTTGCTCCAGGTAGTGCGCCACAGTGTTGGTCCACCAGGCACGCCTGTCAAGATAGTTGTTAGGGGCGTAGATGGCGAGAAGCCTGAACTGTTCATGTAAGAAGTTGCAGTGAAGATATAAGCACCTTCCATCACCAAAGGATGCCCTGGTGGAAATGGAAGCACTCGGATGGAAGATTAAAACAGCGATGCCGCCAGGTTTAGCATGTAAGGAAGAGGACAGGCGAGGGGGAACTTGAGCATATGCTTTAGGTTTTTAATTTGAAAAGAAGATGTGAAAAATTGGAGGTCAGCCGGGTGTCAGTGAGCACGAGGATATCAACAGGATTCCTTGTGAACCAAGAGCGCAAGACATCAAGTTTTTGAGGAGAGTTTAGACCGTTGACATTAATAGACTGTATTTTGAGGTGTATATCCATTAATGATCATAGAGGAGGGCCCCATGTGCTCCGAAAAGCACACATCCACAGGGGCAGGAGAAAGAGGCACCTTGAGGAGGAGCCGACAGGGAAATCACATAGCAATGACTTACATGTAAGTCCCAACCGAATTGTATAGACAGCAACTGCAGATACAACAGTACAGGATTATTGGAATACGAGGGGTACACACTGTATTTCCAGCCGCCGAAGCCTCCTAACCCTGCGCAAGGAAGGTGGCGATCGTCCCGTTCTGATTGAAAACATGGGCTTTCACATCCCCGTACTCCTCCAGGGGCGTGATGTTGCCAGAAGCCAGCTGGATAGCGTTCTGATGAGCGGGGCTGGCGATATGCTCCATCGCACTGTCCAAAGCCCAACCGCAGCAGAAAGAGCACAGAGCGCAAGACCAGACTTCCACCTCGAGATCCGTCCCAATGAAGAAGGTACCAGGTTCGGCCTTGAAGGAAGCCACTGCGGGGTGCTGGCCAATGATCCTGGCTGTAAAAGGCAGGGGGGCATGTAGGGAGCGGCACTGAGACCCACGATAGGAGACTGGAGTAGAGAGAGCAGGAGAAAAGACAGAGCAAGGCAAGGAACGAGCAAAGCCAGAGGGAACACCAACAGGCAGGTTGCGACCAAGAACAAGAGCAAAAGGGGAAGGCGATACTTGGGAGGGTTAATACAAGGAACCAGCAGAGCGGTCGAAGGAGCAGATGGAAGCACACAGGGAAATAGTTACCATTAACATTCTGGAGCTGCCACATGGTGATGAGGTACGGATTAGCGATGCGGTTCCTCCTCACTGCAGCGAAGCTGCTGTGGTCGCGCGTACGATGGTTACTAGTGCACACAGCGCATGAGTGCGAAGACACATTCACCAGGATAGGTTCCTGAACTCCTGGCACCCATATGACAGCAGGGATGGCTTCAAAGAGGGGGTCGTTAGGGGAGGCAACAGCAATGCCAAGCATCTGAGGTAAGAATGATTCCTCGTAAGGATCAAACAGCTTGTGGAAGAAAAGAAGGTCACCAAGCCAGCGAACCCCCTCCGTGGAGCTAGTCATCAGCAAGGAGTGGAGCGTGCGGACAGCAAACCCCACAGGAACGTTGCGCAGAATCAGAACCGTCTCGCCGCGGGCCTTGGCCGCCGAGAAGTCCGGGGCAGGATCCTGGAACACCTTGATTTCGGAGGTTGGTCCTTCGGAGGAGCGGTATGTGATCGGGAGCATGCGCTTGAAGCGATTCGCGTCGTCAACCGTTGGCCACTGAATCGTGTGGTGGCAGTACGACTTGCGGGGAAGGCGCAGGAGATCACCAGCAGATGCTTCGAACACAGGACGCGACCACCAGCGAAATCACGCCCGCGGAGGATGCTACGGACGCGGGTGATGATCCGGCTGTGATGGGCTTCCAGGGCCTCAGGGAAGAGAAGAACAACAACAGCATCAGTGTCGCGGGCGAGGGCCGCAACAACAACTCCCACAGAGTCACGGTTACGTCGAAGACGTGAGTAACGACCGGTAATAGCAAGGGCAATAACAGGGTTAGCCTCCTGGGTAGACGCCGAGGGAGTAGGCGCTGCCGTGGAGGGACCAGCCACGGGAGCCGTTATCGGGGTGACAGGCGGCACCACCCAAGCCGCAGGGGGAGCCACAGGCGCAGAACTGGAGGATCCGGCAGCACAGACGCGCTTAGCGGGGGGAGGAGCCGAGACAGCAGGTGTGGCAGTTTCTTCGGCGAAAAATGAGTCGACCGAGAAGGAGGCATCGAGCTCCTCTTCGCCCATAAGCTCGTCGGTGTTGTGCCGGGAACCCATTGCGCCAGGTGGTAAGGAGGAAGTGTCATGATAGGACGATTTATAGCATGGGAACGCGATTCGACGAGGAAGAGGTGAGAGAGTTGGTGCGACGGATCGCGACCAACCGAGGACAGAAATTGTTCCCACATCCCGTAAGGGAAGGGTGTGGCTCTGGCAATGGCCTCGGCTCACAGTAACCAGCAAGGATCCAGCAAGGAGTAGAGGAGTCGCGAGGCGTGCATGGAGGGAAGCAGCAGTAGACCACGCCGTTGCTATGCAACGTGTCACCTTAACAGACGTGCATGTCTGAGCGCGAACGTGGCCTAACCAGAACCTGTCAGAAATTATAACACCCTCTTTCTCAACCTTTTCACCTTGCGCGACTCGTCGCTACAGTACTTGTCTCATGCGATCTGGTGCCATTAAGCGTTCCTAGCAACCTGGGGGGAAAGCTGAACCATGCGACAAACTGGCTCAAGAACGCAAAATCTCCGTAATCGCTTTATACCCTTCCAAACCGAATAAGTGCATAACCTCACCTAACCGCATTCTTCACATTGTGCTTGTACAGTAGGTGACAAGACCATTCTGAACGTGGTGACGTTCTACAACCCATGTACGTTCTGCAACCAGGTGCTCTACTAGCGCGAAAGAGGGTGTACTGATGAGGAAAGGAACGACCCCATCCATGACCAGATGACGACGTGTCAACATTGACCTCGCAGTGGCTACAGCTCCTAAGGGACAGCTAGACTATTGCAGAACAGTGTGCTTCGACTTGTGCCACTCCGAGTGGGGTTGTGTCAAGCATGGTGTACATTCATTAAAAGATGGGTGGTAGGTAATGAGTCACCTAAAACAATTGTGGAAACTTCTACACCTACTTTGAACATCAAACATCTAGCCTTATTTGCACACATCCAACCAATTACAACTACACCACTCGGCTACGAGCCTCCCTGGCTCGCTCCAAGTCCCTCACTGCCTGCCACCTCTCCCTCGATAGCTCCCTCTCTCCAAAGCTTGCAGCTGCCAGACGAGCCAATGTGAGCCACCTGCATGGCCATTCCCCACCCCATGCGACAGAGGAACAGCAAACAGACAAAGAAGAATATATGATCCCCATGCACCACCATCACAGCACACAGCACGACAAGCAAAACCTCACTGACTAGCCCAAAAGTCAAGCGGTCGATGACATAAAAATCCAATAAGGGCTCTTCCTGTACTTGGTCCAACAGAGCAGGCGCAGTCTCAAGGAGCAAAGCAGCAGGCATCACTCAGCAGCAGCGATGAAACCATCAGAAGCAGCAGCAGGCAGCGCGTACCTGGGAAAAGTGTCGGAGTCGAGAGAGGGGTCCTGCTGCCGTGCTGCCACGAGCTGCTGCGAATTCTAGGAAATGCCCCGCAACAGGCATTGCGCAGCAAGAGGCATCGCAAGCACCGGGCAGCGCGTACCTGTGGAAAGTGTCGGAGTCGAGGGACGGGTCCCCCTGCCGCGCTGCCACTAGCTCCCGCTCCACTTGCTGCCCACACAGGTGGTACGTGGGGAGGGTGGGATGTGGCGAGGGTGGGATTTGGAGAGGTGAAATGTGGCGAGGGTGGGATTTGGAGAGGTGAAATGTGGCGAGGGTGGGATTTGGAGAGGTGAAATGTGGCGAGGGTGGGATTTGGAGAGGTGAAATGTGGCGAGGGTGGGATGTGGGGAGGGTGGGATGTGGGGAGGGTGGGTTGTGGGGAGGGTGGGATGTGGGGAGGGTGGGTTGTGGGGAGGGTGGGATGTGGGGAGGGTGGGTTGTGGGGAGGGTGGGATGTGGGGAGGGTGGGATTTGAGGAGGGTGGGATGAGGTGGTGAAGATGGGTTGCTGAGGCTGGAAGGGGCTGTGATGCCCACAGGTAGCATGCCCATGTACACTCACATGCACATGCACGTGCATGTGCATACGCACATATCCTCCCTTATCACGAGAAATGCACTCAGCAAAAACCAAAACCCGCACGCATGAACAATAATCGCAGGGAGGCTCAAATACACACCTCCCGCATGTCCTCCTTGATCTCATGATCCAGCAGCCGGCAGCAGCCAATGTACCGCCGCCACGTGGCAACCTCCGGCTCGTCCTCACGGACAGGCTGAGGTGGCGCCGTGCACCGCACTGGCAGGCTGACGTCAGCAGGCAGGAGGCGTGACGTGGCATGGGAGAGAATCAGCACAGGTATATCGCTCTGCATCTCCATCTTATAGTACTGAAAATCGTAGTCCACTTTTTGCCACTCCAATAGCTCTTTAAGAGCCTGCAGGTTCTGGCTCCCTAGCGCCGCCACCCTTCCCGGCTTTAAAGCCGTCTCGTCAATAGTTAGGTGGGTCCCTGCTGGTAGCTGCAGCACGCCAGAGACTAGTCTGTCAGAGGTATAGTCCTTGTGGGGCGTGAGGCGGCGCGAGTTAAGATTGTCCAGGGAGAGCGGGAGAGTGTGGGTGGCTGGGAGGAGGGTTTGGAGAGAGGAGGTGAGGGCGGAGAGAGAGGGGGAGGCGGCTTGGGAGAGTGAGGGAGGGGAGGAAGAGAGAGGAGGAGGGGTTGGAGAGGGAGTGGAGGCCAAGGAAGGTTCTGGGAAGCCGGAGAGGTTAAGAGAGAGCTTGCCAAGAGGCATGGGCTCTATGCGCGTGTGTACCTGCATACATGCACACATGCACATAAGCATACATGAATCCATGAATCCATGCACACATGCACACATGGACACATGCACGCACGCGTGGGAGAGGCGAATAGAAACAGCTTGAACCATGCCAGATGTTGCCTGTTGCAACACGTCAAGACAGCAAGCGCAGCAAAAGGGACTCTGCCGCTGTGCTCACCATGCAGGTCACATGGCAAACCATGCTCCGTGCATGTGATGTGTGTGTGTTGCTGAATGGCCTGCACAGAGTTACCGGAGACAACAGGTGCAGCAGTAGGCACTCCGCCGCCAGCCTGTCACTGGCATGTGTGAACTGCATCTTAGCACTACGTTACCGCACGCCATATCACCCCATACCACACGCACCCGCGACAGCAGGTGCAGCAGCAGCTACTCTGCTGCCAGTGTGCCACTGGTGTGTCCCTGTGTTATATCATGCCATGTCAAACGCACACCCACCGTAGCTTTACCACCCCACTGCACACATACCTGTGACAGCAGGTGCTGTCAGTAGCGGACAGGTGGGCTGCGCAGGTCTTATTTCCATCAACTCGAATGGTTCTTATAACGACGGATCAAACCCCATGGAATGAATGACGAGATGAGCCCGGCATACCCGCGACAGAAGGTGCAGCAGCAGGTACGCTGCTGCCAGCCTGCCACTGGTGTGTGTCTGTACAGTATCTAATCAATACACCATTTCACCTCACACCACACATACCCGTGACAGCAGGTGCAGCAGCAGGTATTCCGCCGCCAGCCTGTCGCCGCCCAGAGCAGCAGCCAGCCGAGACAGCAGCGCCGCCCTGATGCTCCCCGCTGCCTGCAGGGGGGATGTGCGGGGGAGGGGGGTCGGGGGAGGAGGGACGTTCGAAGTGACTTCTGTTCTCAGTCCATTCAAAGGCCAGCGCAGCAGCCAGCCGAGACAGCAGCGCCGCCCTGATGCTCGCCGCTGCCCGCAGAGAGGCATTTGAGTAGTCGACTCAGTAGTAAACGAGGAGAAATTCGGGGAGCAGGAATGGGGTGGGGCACATTTTGAGGTGACTTTGTGAGTCGACTCAAAAGTAAGACACGAGGAGAAGTCAGGGAAGGGAAAATGCGGTGGGGCACAAAGGATTGGAGAACAAGGCAGGGTCACACGAGGAGGGTGAGGAGGGATGGTGTACTGATGAGCAATCCTAGAGGCCACACCGCTACAGGTGGGATAAGAATGATACTCACTGCTACAGTGGGTTCCGTGACGGGCTGAAAAAGGTCGGGAAGCTTCCTCCAGGTGAGGCGGTGTAACCGCAACACCTGGCTGCTGAGCAGACACGCAGAGGGGCACCCACCCATGCCCATGCCGCCTCCCAGTCACATCTCGCCCCCCATGCCCATGCCCACTAAGACTCACCGCCACAGTGGGCCCCACATCGGTTGAGAAGAGGTGAGGGAGCTTCCTCCAGGTGAGGCAGTGTAATCGCAACACCTGGCTGCTGGGCAGACACGCAGAGGGGCACGCTCCCATGCCCATATCGCCCCCCATCATCTCCACCTCCATCGCTGCTCCTGTGCTTCCGCCTGTGCCTGCTCCTGCGCCTGTGGCTGCGTCTTGTGGTGCTGCTGCTGCTGTGTGGGCAGTATGCACGGTGGGCGCGGATGGTGGTGCCACCACCCCCACGAACTCCACCACCTGATTCAGCTTTACCTGCGACTCCACGCTGTCGTACAGCTGATGGGGGGATGTGTATGCATGCACGGGCACCAGTGGGAGGGAGGGAGAGAGGTGCTGTTATAGCGAGTGCCCATGGTGCTATCACCACCCCCACCAACTCCACCACCTGGTTCAGCTTGACTTGGGACTCCACACTGTCGTACAGCTGATGGGGGCGATGCATGCATGCAGGAGAGCGAGAGAAGAACAAGGAGTGAGTGTAGCGAGAGCATGCACAAGCAAGTGACACCAGAAACACGGAGTGAGGCACACAGAGAGTGACCGAGACGCGTACACGCAGTGAGCCAGAGAGAGAGAGAGTGATGGGGTGCGTGCACGCAGTGAGCCACAGAGAGAGAGTGAATGGGGGGCGTGCACGCAGTGAGCCACAGAGAGAGAGTGAATGGGGTGCGTGCACGCAGTGAGCCACAGAGAGAGAGTGAATGGGGTGCGTGCACGCAGTGAGCATGCTGCTCTATCTCGCACCTTGACAATGCAGGGCAGCAGTGGGGGGCCATGGGAAGCAGAGGCAGAGGGCCCGAGAGGGAAGTGCAGATCCACAAACGGAGGGGCGTCGCCAGCAGCACCAGTGCTGCCGAGCTGTGCCATGGTGTTGCTGCTGCTGGTAGGGATGGCAGCGGCTGTGGTGTTGGCAACTGCTGTGGTGGCCTGGAGGGGAGGGAAGCAAGAAAAGCATGCAGGGAGAGGAGGAGTCGGGATGGGGGAGAAAGTGGGGACAAGAGGAGCAGGAAAGAGAAAGTGGGGACAAGAGGAGCAGGAAAGAGAAAGGTGCCGTCCTCCGCACACTATGCAGGTCAGCGAATTGTTTCTTTACCCGCAATTCTCCCTTAACTCACACTCCTCCCAACCCGCCCACACCATTCCACCCCTTCCCCCGCCGCACCCACCTTCCCCCGCAACACACCCCACTCTCTGTCCCCCGATTCGACGAGGCAAACCTGTGGAGTGTATGCGAAAGGGAAAGGGCGGCTGCCCTGCCTTCCCTTTTGAGAATTCACGTACCTGTCTCTTGGATTCCCCTGCCTCGCTGGGAGCCACCCTGGTTTCCACGTCCATGCCCTGCAAGCACCCAGACCAATGAGGCATAGGAAGCATAAGAACCATAGGAAGCATAGGAAGGCTCAAATGAGGCGGCTTAGATACATCCTGCCTGTGCGAGATGCTGACCTGCAGGCACCGAGAGCGAGAGCAGTGGGAGCATGAGTGAGAACGTCTCTAGCGGCGCCTCAAGTACCTTGCGGTGTAAACACTTGTTCTGCTTACACTTGATACACTTGCGGGAGTGCTGTGAGAACAAGGTTTGGGTAACAGAGTGAGCAGATGACACAGGTGGATCAACAGGGTGAGCAGATGACACAGGTGGATCAACAGGGTGAGCAGATGACACAGGTGGATCAACAGGGTGAGCAGATGACACAGGTGGATCAACAGGCACAACGAAGGAGACCCAAGGAAGACTGACTCAGCTGGATTCAGCTGATGTCCAGACCCACCATAAGTTCAGCGTCCCCCTCCTCTCTGCCCCTCTTCTCCGCCCCACCGCCCTCCTCCCCCCCGCTTCCCCCCTCCCCTCTCCCCCGGTTCCCCCTCCCCTCTCTCCCCCCGTCCCTGAGAGCCCGCGCCCATGGCTGCTCCCCCGGCACCTGGTGGGGGGAAAGGGGAGAGGAAGGAAAGGGGGGACGGATACCCAGGGGGGAAAGGGGAGAGGAGGGGGTGTGGAAGGAGGGAAGGACGGGGAAGGGGGGAAGTGTTTGGGAGAAGGATGACATGGAGACAGAGAGGAGAAGAGGAGGGGGGGAGAATTGGTGGAGTGAGAGAGAAAGACGGACATAGATGAGGGATGTAATAATAAGAAAAATACAAAACAATCCCAGTGGGCGGCAAGAGAAAACGAGGCTTTGAGTGTGGAGCCAAGAAAAGCTGTCCACTTGCACTCACCGGCACGCAGTACAGCAGCCGCCTCTCCCAGATACTGCCAAAATCCGCCGCCCCTTCCCCCAGCCCCTCCACCCCGTCTCCCCCCATTCCCCCCCCGCAGTCCCCATCAGTGTACTTGGTTGTGCGCCAGGGGGGAGAGGGGGGGGCGGAGGAGCCTGAGGGGGAAGCGGATGGGGGCTGTCTGCTTCGTTTGTAGAGGCCCTGATAAAACTCGGTGCCCCACATGTCCTGTACCTGCAGAAACGAGAGACGGTACAGCAATAGAGTGGAAGAACAGAAAAGCACGCTTTGAGCTTGGCAGCAACAGGCAAAACCAAGCCCACACAGGCAGAAGTCACATGCATGTTAAAATGAGACAATGCATGTCCGAATGAGTCGACGCATGTCAGAATGAGTCAACAAAAGCCCGGAAAAATCGAATCAAGGAAGAGTGTGCAAGTCAACGCGAGTCAACGCGAGTCAAGGCCCTGACCATGCCTCGGAAACGGACAAGCGAGCCCACCGGCACGTGATCCACACCCACTGAGTTGATCTCAGGCACCTGGTGGGTAAAGGTGGCGAGAGGCGGGGAAAGGTAAGGGGTTAGAAAAACAAAGGCGGTTGAAATACACGTGAATTTGAGTCCAGCCAAAATGCACGTGATCCACACCCACTGGATAAATCCCCGGGACCTAAGGAGGGAGTAGAAAGCAAGGAAGGTATGGGTTTATATTGACCCTGCAGGTGTGGGGACCGGTTCTGTGCAGTGCAGAACAGTTTCGAAAGCGTAAGGTTGCGAAGCGCAAATGAATAGTCGCACCAACAACTCGAGTATCACAGGTCTAGGCGGCAACAAATCAACGCTTCCCACCTTATCTATGTTCCCATCGCGGAACAGCTTGTGTCACTTTTGAAAACTGACACAAGCTCAAGAGTGACACTAGCTCAAAAGTGACACAAGCTCCACCTTATCAATGTTCCCATCGCGAAACAAGAATTCATCGACGAGCGTGCGAACTCCCCAGTCTCCTTCCGCCAGCTGTCGCTTCATCGCCTCCTGCGCGGCCCCGCCATCGCCGCCGCCTTGTCCGCCGATTTGTGCGGCGCTGCGGAGCCGGTGGACCTCGCGATCGAAGAGGACGCGCACCGCTCCCAGCGGGTTGGCAAGGAGATCGAAGGCGGGACCACCCATCGCTAGCCACTGGCGTTCCGCGACTGGCGCTCTGCGACTGGCGGTCCGCCACTGGCGTTCCTGAGAGCACAAGTTGATGACGGTCTTTTGGTCTGCTGAGCAAATATCTGTACAGATTCGTGGAGTGCCAGGAAGGAAGGAGAGGCGTGGGTGGAAGGCTAATGGTTGCCAGTGGCTTGGCTTGTCAACTGGTTACCCGTCGCTAGTAGCTGGCAGTGATTATCACGCTGAGAACCGCAGATTGCAGGTGAACTCTTGCACGAGCGACGGAGAACGAACAGCTGACGATGCCCAACGACGTATGCGAGGGGCGAGAATAAGGTGGAAGACAACAGAGATCGGGTTACCAGCTGAGTTTGATCTACTTTTGGCATTGCGAGAAGTGTCTGACACCATCACGACTCAATCGAGAGGGTCAGTAATGAGCGGAAAAAAGCGCAGGGAGTGTGCTACACATTTGTTCTATAAACAGCAACATGCTACCAGAGAAATACATTTCTAGTTATGCAAGACTTAACAAAGTGACATGTGTGTTATGGTTTCCCGTTCCATCCTTCTGCATGCGACCATGTTTTGAGTTTTATGCCCGAACAGCAGCAATAACATTTCACTAGCATTGCCTACATTATCTACAACTCATCAACACTTTTGGCAGCACAATTTTCAATTTCTATGGGCTACGGTAGACACGTGCTAGCATCCTGTGATTAGGAAGATGGTGTCACCAAACAGCAATGTCAGTGTTGTTCAATGTCAGCAGCTTTGGCAACCTCATTGGTCTTGTTGCAGCAGCAGCGGTAGATAAAGAGTGCGATGAAAACGACGGACAACAAAATGGAGATGGCAATGAGCAGCCAGCTCCACCACGAAAGACCGCATGACCTATTGCACTGGTCTCCCTGGTACACTTGACCTGGTATGATGCAGGAGGCGGACAGGAGAAGAACAGGGGAACGTCAAGCGCAGAGTGAGTGTGCTTTTATTCTTGGAAACGGCACACCGCATAAAGCAGTTGGGTGCAAGCGGGTCACCACAGGCCTCAGATAATGTACACCGGAATCACAAGCCAGCATCACCAATTCCTAACCGACAACAGCTGGAGAAAAAAGGACTGAGAGAAACCAGGGTTTTAGCAAGACGCACCAGAGCTACCATTGGTGGTGTTGGTCGAATCAACCCAAATGGGCTTGAAGCTAAAACTGCAACCACTGCTTGTCGAAACGCACAGCTGCAGGGAGCAAGTTCCGCAACCAATCGTAATGTCATGCATGATGTGGTCGATGAGGTTCATCAAGGTCCAATGCGGTCCAAGAAGGTGGGAGGCACAAGAAGGAACACAGAAGTTTTCCTTTGAACGGAGAGCAAAGAGCAATGAGCAATTTGAGCCACTTCTCCACTTTCCATCACGGGGCTAACGGGTGAGTAAGTAAACTGCGATCTTGGGTGATGATCCATTTGGCAGGTGAAACAAGAACGCGCAGAAGTGAGTCTGAATCTGAATCATCTTGGAGTGACATACCGAGCATGCTTCGACGCAGGCCGTAACGACATCGGACGCGTTCTGTGGGTTCTTGCACGGCGTACCACAGTCGTAGTAAATAGTTTTGGTGGAAGCTGCTACGCCGCAGCGTGCGAAGACTATGAGAAAAGTAGCAACTGCTAGTACCAGGCTCCTCATTGCGGGGGATGAAACGCCGTGATTTCGAGAGGTGTAGTTGGTGAAGAATCAATCAGATGGATGAAGCACTATCACTATGCAGCCTGATAGATAAATTACTGAGAACGTTGAAAATACGAAAGACAACGACCACTTTCTGGTAGACTCAGGTGTTGATGGTGATATATAGCCATTTCCAGCATAGAGAACCTCGCCCTGCTGGGTCTCCGCGTCGCGACGCACATTGCGGAAAAGGCAAGCTCGGTAAGTGGCGTCTGCGTGTCTTCCCGTCGCATTTGCACTAACATTATTAGGGACATATAATGGTAGGCGAGGAGGGTACCAGAGAGTAATGTTGCGAGTGACTTGCACGTGACAATTGTGTCCCGGTATAGTGCAGCGGAAGGAAGTCATAGCGTCATTGCACAATTACACCTGGTCCTCCTGATTTTCACCAACCCAACTTTGTTTTTGTCAAACACCAAGTGTTTCTTTTATTTTAGTGAGATGGACATCCTGAATTATTTTAAGTTTAATGAGACCTTGGGGCTATTATTGAACAGCCAGGAGGCATTTCAGATACCGTAGGAGACTATGGAGCTAATGAAACTCACACTTACGGTAGTGGTTTGATAAAATGGTGGATTGGCATTGAGAGAGTTGCTCCTAGCCGTCATTTCCCACAGCTTGTCTCACCAGTCCTTGCACTCGCCTCACCTGCAGGATCCGGGCCCGTGCCTCCTCAGTGGGGTGTGGGAAGTCGATCTTCCTGTCCAGCCACCCCGAGCGCATGAGCGCCGGGTCCAGGATGTCGGCCCAATTCGCGGCTGCCACCACCTGACTCGCCCCAAGTGCATGAGAGCGGGTTTGAGGATCTCAGCTCGATTCGTGCCAGTAGCGACCAGACATGGTGTGAGGTGAATGGGGGTGAATGGAGTTGAATTCGGTGGGGGGATGAGAGGGACGTGGGGCAGGACGACTTGAGTCACCCCTAGTGCATTGGAACGGGCTCCAAATGTCGAGATTAGCTAGGAAGGAATGTGTATTAGGTAATAGGGAGGGGGTACAAGGATGTTGAGAGAGTTGGGTTGTACCCTCTAAGGTGTGACCCCAACACAACATAGAGTAAGATTAACATAACAATGTGCTTTGACACACCCCCACAGGAGAAGTAGGGGATAGCCAAACCTAACAGTGGTCACAAGACCAGTCAAGCAAAAGAACAAGCAAGGCAAAACGCACGGTGGATCTCAAGAACACCACACAATCTGAGCACAAGCAGGCGGCCACAAGGCCAGTTCACATGCAGATTTATAATAGCAAGGCAGTACACCGATCACAACCTAGCAAGAGTAAACATGCAGGTATAAAGATATATAGCAATGTACAACAAGAGCAAGTCAAGCAACCAGCAGGTGAGGCAGAGTGGGCACAAGCCCAAGAGCAGTGCAGAAACGCTGATGATCACTAGCCCCAAGGGCCTTGGTGAAGACATCAGCAATGTTGGTCCGAGAGGCCACGAAAGTAAGGCGCAGCTGACCATGCTACTGCAGCTCACGCACAAGAAAGTAGTGCAGAGCAATGTGCTTCGTTCTGTGCTCCAGTCTCTGCTTGCGTCACAAGGCAAGCATTGCCTTGTTGTCGACGTACAGAACTAGAGGAGAACGAGGCCGCTCCCCCGAGTCGGTCAGCAGGTAGGTCAGCCAGCGGAGCTCCTGTGCAGCCATGGCCCCAGCGTAGATCTCGGCCTCACAACTAGAACCAAGCACAGAAGAAGAATGAGTGGACCTCCACGAGACAGAACCAACGCCAAGACTGAAGGTGTAGCCCTGTGACGAACGCTGAGTTGCCTGGTCATCGGCCCAAGAAGCGTCAGAGTGTCCTGTGAGGACCACTAAACCCCCTCCTCCAAGCACGAGCCTCATGCCCGATGTGCTGCACAAGTAACGCATCACCCTCTTCGCAGCATCCCAGTGCACCTTTCGGTGTCTACCGGGTGCCACGTAGCGAGCCAGAAGGCTGAGAGGGTACGCGAGGTCAGGTCGTGTGCACGTCATCAGGTACATGAGACAGCCCACAAGCTCTGGGTACGAACCACTCGGCTCTACGGACTCGTCCGAAGGTGGAGCTGAGAGCTGTCAGATTTATATGACATAGCTACTGTAGGCTATAGTGGGGTAGCACATATGGGGTACAACTTTCTAGGGTTTGTACTTGTATCCAACTTTCCCTTAGTCATTTCATTCTCGTTCATTTTCTCATGGTATAGAGCAGGCTCCCCTGTGGGAATTGTTCCTAGAGCCCACCACCTTTTTTTCCTGCCCGGAGCGCGCTCTATACTGCCCGAGTCGCGCTCCCCTTCCACGGCCCCGTCGTGCCGCCCTTTCGACCCTGTCGCGCCGCCTTAGCGGTCCCGTCGAGTCGCGCTTGCGGCCCTGTCGCGTCGCCCTCGCGGCCCCGCAGGCTCCCCTGTGGGAATTGTTCCTAGAGCCCACCACCTTTTTTTCCTGCCCGGAGCGCGCTCTACACTGCCCGAGTCGCGCTCCCCTTCCACGGCCCCGTCGTGCCGCCCTTTCGACCCTGTCGTGCCGCCTTAGCGGTCCCGTCGAGTCGCGCTTGCGGCCCTGTCGCGTCGCCCTCGCGGCCCCTTCACACGTCGCGCCGCCCTAGCGGCCGCGTCACGCCGCCCTCGCGGCCCAGATCTGCTGCCCTCGCGGCTCCGTCGCATCGCGCCGCCCTCGCGGCCCTTTCGCGCCGCCCTCGCGGCCCTTTCGTGCCGCCCTCTCGGCCTCTTCAAGCCGCCCTCGCGGCCCCCCCTTCCTAGCCGCCCTAGCAGCCCCGTCGCCTACCCCTGCGGCCCCGCCGCCGCCCTTCCCTGCCTCGGCGCCGCCTCTGCTGGCCCCGTCGCCTACTCTTGCGGCCCCGACGCTGCCCTTCCCGGCCCTGGCACTGCCTCTACTGGCCCCGACGCCGCTCCACCCGGCCCCGCCGCCGTCCGCACGCGGCCCCGCCGTCACCACCGAGCCGCCGGCGCCGCCGAGCTACTGCCGAGCCGCCCGATCCACCCGCGCCGCCCGAGCTGCCGCGCCACCTGAGCCGCCCGAGCCGCCGAGTCGCCGAGCCGCCGTACCGCCGAGCCACCCGAGCCGCCCGAGCCGCCGAGTCGCCGAGCCGCAGTTGCTGCCGAGCCGCCGTACCGCTGAGCCGCTCGAGCCGCCCGAGCCGCCGAGTTGCCGAGCCGCCGAGCCGCCCGAGGCGCCTTGTCCGGTAAGAGCAGCGCCTCTGTCACTGCACTGCCCTTACCCTACTGTTCGCGCTGCTAGTCTAGTGCTGTCATAGCTAC